GGTTGCAATACTGTGTAGCCCCTGAAAAGAAATGGTGGTTACAAAACATGATTGAGTTCATAAATTGACACAGACGTACCCCAGTCTATCACACCATGGCTCATAAAAAGAGAGCTAGTCTGCTAGTTAGTCAGGGCCCATGCTATAATAGGATGTTAAAGATTATAGCTAACACTTTGCACACCTATAACTTACTCTTCTAAACCAAGTTTGGAAAGGAATTTTCCCTCAACTCAGAGTGGCAGTGACCTTGGTTTTTTTCATCTTCCTGTGCATCATGGGGTTCACATCATTCCCCAAGATCTGTCTATATCTCTATTAATCAACTCCTGCCATTGCAGTGGCCGCAGGCATTGGTTCACTTCAGTCCCTTTTGCTCTCAGCCCATGGCACACAATAGCTTAGTCTCATGAGGGCAGTTCTATTTTGGTCTAATTCTAGCTCTTGGCTTGGTGTGTGGGGGTGGTCGGGTGGTATTCAGTGGCAGGTGATATTCAGGAAGTCTGGATGATCTGGTGGTCCCTTCTCGCCTTATGCTCTGATTCTAGTAGAGCAACTGTGATGTTACCATGTGCTACAGCTTGCCAGTCATCAAACACAGACTTGTGAAATTAATTTAATTTTTTCCACCTTTGGAGGGGGGCAGAAGAGCTCATTTTGACAAATCATAAGACTTCTCACTGTATTTTCCCTTCACTGAAGCCATCACCTTGTCACCAAACACAGCATATCCCTTGATACCCATAAGTAGATTCCCCTCTCTAGATGTTTCCATGCAGGCAAGCAGAGAGGTGATTGGTTCATTAGGCTCCATCTCTTTTCTAGAGGTTCAGTAACATCCCACAAGTGTTTGCATTAAGCATCCTTAACTTCATTCCTTGGAAGAAATATAGGGTGTGGCCAATGGTGTTTCAATAAATGAGGGGCAGCAAATATATAAGAAACTTGGCCACTGACTGTTCAAATTTGCAACATGTGAGTGATCACATTTCTCAACTGGCTGCAACGTATTCTCTCTAGTGTATATTTCCTGCCCAAACTGCAGGCCTAGTATACATGGGAAAGATTTTTCGGTATAACCCAAGGCATGGATTTATACCAATATGGTTATACTGGTATAACCCCCCGTGTAGTCATTTTTTCTAGTACAAGAGTGCCATTTTTCATTTAGCTTGTTGTTGGGAAGGAGTGTAATCTAAAAGGAAAAAGGCCAGTCTTTTGCCTGAATAAAAGTGTCCGTGTGTGTGGGGGGGTGTTATATCAGTATAGAGTTAACTGTTAAAACTTGCCCATGTAGACAAGGCCCTAGGCTATATAGGATATATCTACACTGCACTATAACACCCACAGCTTGCTCAGCTGACTCGGGCTGCAGGGTTGTAAAATTGAGGTGGAGATGTTCAGTCTCGGGGACCCTCCACCTCATGGAGCCCAAGAGCTCAGGCTCCAGCCCAAGCAACTACACAGCAATTTTAAAGTCCCGGAGCCCAAGCCAGCTGACATGGGCCAGTGGCGAGTGTTTTATTACAGTGTAGACATATCCATAGAGGCCTATTGCCTGGTCTAGATCATGTTATCCAACATGTCAAAGAGACACTGTAAGTGAATACCTCTGAATTCACAATAGGTAGATTAGAGGTACAGTAGAACTTCCGAGTTATGAACATCACAGTTACGAACTGATCAGTCAACCACACGCCTCATTTGGAACCAGAAATACGCAATCAGGCAGCAGCAGACACACAAAAAAGCAAATATAGTACGGTACTTTGTTAAACAGTCTACTAAAAAAATAAAGGGAAAGCAGTATTTTTCTTCTGCATAGTAAAGTTCCAAAGCTCTTCAGTTGTCAACTTTTGAAAGAACAATAATGAACATAATGTTTTGTTCAGAATTACGAACATTTCAGAGTTACGAACAGCCTCCGTTGCTGAGGTATTTGTAATTCTGAGGTTCTACTGTAACAGCTAGCAAAATCAGAACATAGATGACATGGCTCCAAGGGAATCTCTTTGGTCATCTGTTCAAGCAGGAGGTGCCCTGAGCTGCCTCCCATAAACTTTTTTTGTTACTATTATTTGACTGTTTACATGGTATGGAATGAGACCAATGCAGTAAACAATGAGTTACAGTATATCTCTTCTCATCTCAATGAGCAATGCCATCAAATGAAAATCTATATTTCTCCTAACACTCTTACTTTTGAAAGTTAAAATATTTAGCTACTGGGTCATGACTTGTTCAGGCCAGTTGCAGCTTATTTTCTTTTGCTGCCCTGCATCTAGCACTTCCCTGCTGTGTCACTATTTTTTGGCTATGTGGGAACAACACAACATCTAGGGGAATGAGGGGCAGAAGAGACATTTCATGTATCAGGAGATTTATCTTAGTATTTTCTGTATTGCTAATACCATAATATCTAAGTGTTGATGAGAGATACTTAGGGCTCTTCTCTGATTAGAGCACAATACAGGATAGGCCTCTTTGCGTATGCTTTATAATTGAAGCTACAAAATTATGGGCAACATTTTTCCTTCTCATAGCTTTCCCCATTATGATAATAGAAATGTTTTAACTGAACACTATATGAACCATTCTACCTCTGCTAAAGAAATGCATTGTGGAAATGTCATTATGCAGCTCTTTTAATATGCTTCCTGAATTTGGTTCACATTTGGAGTAGCAGTAATTTTGCTAAAATGGGTTTAGTGGAGTTATGGCTATATGAAAAATCATGCTCGGAACAATAGTCTGAAAGAAGTTTACAAGTGGGGAATTTAAAAAACCCCAACATTCCGTTTGCATGTTAACAGAGTACCATTATATATGACCATGTACGACACCTTGTTGGAAGAGCATCAACACCTGAAGGAAAGGTTTCTTGAGGCTACTGTAGTGGTGTTCCAGTGGTTTTTAATGGGGTATATCCCGCTTCCCTCTGGAAGATGTTTGCTTTTTCTGCAGGAGAGGGTAGCACCTGTGCTACTGCTCTGATGCACAGTCCTTCCCACAGTGGTACTGGTAGGAGCATAGTGAAATTAGGGCAGACCTAGTTGGAATTGTTGTATTGCTTTGGCCAGACTGTAGGGAAAGAGCTTTATATAGGTGCACCAAAGGCATAATCATTTTCCTTTCATCAACTTTTCAAAAGTAGCAGAGGATTTATACCTCTTGTGTTTCAACACCATGCTTTTCCCATGGCCCAACAGGAGCAGCAGGATCTAGGCCTGTGTATCACTGCAGTTCTGTTGCTGGGAAAGTGCTTTGTGCACAAGCAGCAATGCATGTCTATTCCTTGGGGAAGAGGGAGGAAAGTGAGGCGATAGTAAATGGACTAGGCACACAGAAGCAAAGCAGCAGAGGACTGGCCTGCTTGGGTCTATCAGCTTGCTCTTTGAGAGGAGGAGCTGGGAAGCCGTACACTCTACTTCTTTGGTAAGGCTGAGCTTTTCTTTGCTGTAACCACCCTGAGTTGAATGAAGGTGCAGCATAAATAGTTTCCAGAGGCGGCCATATCCATCCCTCCACAACCAGAGAAGTGCTTTGTTGTGTGACCTTTTGTGGAGGGAGTGAACGGGAAAGGAAGGTGGGGAGATTCTGGAAGCCCCCGGGAAAGAAAGAGGTTGAAACAGTGAGTGGGGCTAGGGCGGTAGACGATGGTAAATTTGGATCTCATGCAATAACTCTGGCATTGAATATGTGGAAGGTGCTCACATTCTCTAGTGATGGGCTGAAGTATAAAACTCAAAATTAGATTAGTTTATACTTCTCTGTACTAATAATTGATACTGTAGTGTGTCAGCTTGAATCAATTCAAAAATTCCATTTTTAAATCCCATATCTGTTAAAATCCTCTTCAAATATATACTGAAAACTGAAAAAATCCTTTAATAACATTTTTATGACTTTTCACTGCTTTCTGTGGTTGGTTATAAGGATCTTTTCTTCAAGGGAGAACCTGCTATACAAGGGAAAGCATGTAAACTGATTATACACGAAGCACTCTCACTCACAAAGTGAGCAAATTGAAAAATGAGATAAAAACTAAATTTTCTTAACTATTTAAATAATTGTAGGTGTTGTTTGTAGCTATTTTGGGTGCAAAACTTTCAGATAAACAAGCTTTCCAAATTGACAATGCTCCTTTATAGTAAAGGTATGGTAACACGATTACTCTTCAGGTTAAAATCTGTCAATTATTTGTCACTTTCCTTGGTAATATTGTTATTCCAGTCACTGCACTCAGTGTGGCTATAGGCTAGCTGCCCAGCCAAAGGGACCCTATATGAGTGATTATTTTTTTTTAGATATAGCAGGCTTCTTAATTACTTAATGAAATTTCTGTAAAAATATTTTTCATAACAGGGCAGCCAAAAACTGCAAGCTACAGTGCTTCTTCAAAGGCTGTAATGGCTGCATATAATGCAGACTTTCTGGGCCAAACTGGCCTTTTCTGCATCAAGATCACGTATAGTATTTATTTTAACCTTTTACCACCCCTTGATGTCAGTAGTCTTTCTGGTCATATGGTCCCATGAGCTGAGTAAAGATTATAAAAGTTACAAGAAGTCAGTGACCCTTTGCTATTTATTTAGGTTCCTTATATGGCCAACTTTAGACTAGAGACTTGGTACTTGTAGGGAGAATGCTTTCACTTAGTTGCACCTTTCATGCAAGGATTTTGAACCAGTTCCCAAAATGAAGTTTCACAACATACCTGAGCTAAATTAGTATTGTACCTAATTTTCAGATGAGGAAATGGAGACACTGAAGTGGTTGCCCAAAGTCACACAGCAAATCTTTGTCAGAGCGATGCATAGAATTGGGGTGTCCTGACTTCCAGTCCCCTGTTTTAACTCCTAGTCCTGTCTTGTTACCGTTGCACCATTAATAGAAATATTGCTGAAAAAATCATCACATATTTATAAAACTTCATCAGAAATGCTAATGGTACTCTTTGCTTTGGAGTAAAACTGAATTTCTTTTCATTTTGTCTTTAGCTGCTTTTCCTCATCGATTGAATCTGTTTTACCTGGCCAATGATGTCATACAGAACTGTAAAAGAAAAAATGCAATTGTATTTCGGGATACATTTGCAGAAGTGCTTCCTGAAGCAGCTGCTTTAGTTAAGTAAGTGATATGTTTTTTGTTTGTGGATTAATAGCTTAAAAATGTGAATTTACTTGTGATTGCCCTAACAGATCAAGCTATATAGAAGTGTTAGAAATATTTCAAAGGTGTTTCCTTATTTACTCAATGAATTGTCCCACCTTTTAAGATGATTAATGCACACATCGGTGCATTCACATTTGCAAAAAACAGAATCTCTTGCATTAGAACATTGTTTTTATTGGTAAAAAAAAAAAAAATCTTCTGCTGGAGAGGACATAAACACAACTATGCCAGTTGAGGATCTTGATATGGGAGGGGAATAGAAGGGAGTGTATATTTGGCTTTATGGAAGTTTTTAAACTGTGAAATATTTTTTAATGATATGAAGTGTCTGACTGGAAACATGGTGAAGTGAAACATGAAGAAATTATCTGTAAAGCACCTAATATTCTGTACGCACTATGTAAATAAGGTATAATTTGAGGGCTTTGATTTGTCTGACAAGGTTACTTTTTTTGATCCCTTCTCTGTTTGTAAGAACATGCTTTCTTCACAACATTTTTGTTTTTTTTTTAAGAAAGACTGATAGGTTGTTTTTTTTTGGTTAGCGTCATATTAATTACAACACTTTTTCTTATTTTGCCTTCTGTCTCCTTGATTTCTGCTCTTCACCTCCTTATTTTCACATTTTTTATCTTAACCTATATATGCTACTGTACTTAAAGTGTTCTTAAGGGTTTAAGTCTTTCATAGAGTCATAGAAATGTAGGCCTGGAAGGGACCTCAAGAGGTCAATTTAGTCTACCCCCTCATGTTGAGACAGGATCATGGATACCTAGACCATCAGTGACAGATGTTTGCTTAATCTCTTCTGAAAAACCTCCAGTGCGGGCGATTCCAAAACTAGAACCCTGCAAGTGTGTGAATATCCGCTTTATATCCACACACCATTTTTGTGGATTGAATGCGGATACAAATTTTGTATCCATGCGGGGCTCTATCCATAATCTCCCTTGGTAACCTATTCCAGTATTTAACTATCCTTACAGTTAGAAAGATTTTTCTTAATCTTCCTTGCTGGAGATTAAGTGGATTGCTTCTTGTCTTACCTTCAATGGACATGGGGAACAATTATCCTCTTCGTAACAGCCCTTAACATATTTGATGATTATTGTCAGGTGTGTTTCTCTCCTCTCCCCGCTCCCCCCCCCCCCCCCCCCCGGTCTTCTTTCCTCAGGACTAAATATGCCCAGGTTTTTTAACCTTTCCTCATAAAGTCAGGTTTTCTAAACTTTCCATGATTTTTGTTGCTCTCCTCTGGACTCTCTCCAGCGTATTCACATCTTTCTTAAAGTGGGGTGCCCAAAGCAGGACACCATACTAAGGTCTCACCAGTGCAGAGTAGAGTGGAACAATTACCTCCTGTGTCTTACAGAACACACTGCTGTTAATGCACCCCAGAATGTGTCTTTTTCACAACTGCATCATATTATTGTCTCATATTCAGTTTTTGATCCAGTATAACGCCAGATCCTTTTCTGTAGTATTGCTGCCTAGCCAGTTATTCCTCATTTTGTATTTGTACATTTGATTTTTTTGTCCTTCCTAAATATAATTCTTTGCATTTGTGTTTATAGAATTTCATCTTGTTGACTTCAGACCAATTTGTCAAGGTTGTTTTGAATTCTAATCCTGTTCTCCAAAGTGTTTGCAACCCCTCCCCTCTTGGTGTCCTCCACGTATTTTATAAGCGTACTGTCCAATCCATGTCTTATATGAAAATATATAATAGTACTGAACCCAGGACAGACCCCACTAGATTTGTTGGCCCAGTTTGACAGTAAATCATTGAGAGTTGCACTTTGAGAGTGGTTTTGCAACCAGTTGTGCACCTGCTTCATCTATACAAGGTGGAAACTTTCTAAGGCGTCTGATCATATTTTCATGTGTTGCTTGACACCCTAATTGCTGGGCTGGACTGTAATTTCACTTCAGGATCAAGCAGAAGGGCTGTGAAGCAGGCAGTGCCTATTCATTCACAAATACTAATGTAAACGGATCTTTGTTTCTTGAGATTAGATGTACTCCTGCTGCTCATTCCACAAGTGAAGTGCTAACCGTTTTGTGGCAGCTCAATAATTTTCACAGAAAGATAGAGCCTTTAGAGTTGTTTTAACTTTTATTGGAGAGTTTCCATCTTGCTTTTAACTGCATCTTTTCATTAGTGTTTTATTTAATGGTACTCTATCTCTGTGAAGAAGCAAAGAAGTGCTGTCCTCATTTTTACACACGTGAAAAGAAGTAAAGTGAGCGTAAGTGACTCGAATGCCAAGATCATTCCAGATATCTGTCGTAGAGGCAAGAATAGAACTTGACCTCTGTGCTGCCAATCCTGTGCCTTAACCACAAGACTATCCTTTCTCCAGAGTGCCTTTCAGTTATGTTATAAACCCAAATGCTACGATTTCATGACTTAAAAAACATGACCAAGCTTTGAGGATATATTTGTGGTGCATTCACTTTGCGGAATGTCTTTTTAATCCACTTTTTTCTATTACAGCAGAGCACTAGCTTTCTACTTAGATGGACTCTCCTAAACGTTCTAAAATCCATATGCTGACTTGAATTACCTTGAAATTTGTTCTGCCTCAGGAGTGTTTGGTAGTGATCCAAATTTGAGCTCATCCAAGCAAGGGGGTTCCAAGATACAGCCCCCGCCCCCCAAAAAATAGCATTTTACAAAATCATCTTGTTCAGACATTTGTGTGTGTGTGTGCGCGCGCGCAACTTTGGTGCACGCTCTGGCTCTAATCTCCTCCAAACTGATCTCAGTTGCTCAGGATTTATATCAGCTAGTGCACGGCTCCCACTATCCCTTAGAAATATTGAAACGGTTGTTCAGGGTTCAGTTAGGTACACCAGGTCAGCACATGCCTAAAACAGTGAAATGAGTCTGTGCAGCAAGATTAGGGGTCTGTTGAAGAAAACGGGTTTCCAGGCGGCCTGTTGTGAAAGTAGCTGGGTGACATGCTGTGGTCCCTGAACCTGAGCTGTACCCCTGCACTATGAGTATGAACTCTGCCCGGGGCAGTTTCCAGAGAGTGTCTTAGGCACATTCTTTGCTCTCTGCCTGCATTCTGCGGGGGCAACTTTTTGCACATTTTTGTCTTGAGACCAAAGATTCTGGTTTGAGTGATATTTTAAAGTGCTCTAATATCTCAGCCTGCAAGGGGATATTAATTTATAAGTATTGGCAAGGAAATTAGCATTAAATAGAGGGAAGATAGACTCTAGAAAGTATTTAGGATAACGTGATCTTGTTTCCTGAACAGTGGGACTGCGTGAGATCAAAGAAAAGCTAGCTGCTGCGTCATTTGGTCAAGGAGTTCCTGAACACAGCTCCTCCAGCATGGGCTGCTAGGGAATATGGGAGGGGGGTCAGATTAATGTTGCGGGGGGGGGGGAGAGCAGTGCAAGGGGTGTGGTGATTGTGTGTGCAAGGAGAGGATGGGGGAACTAGGGGATGAAGATGGGACATTTGGAGCTGTGGCAAGGGGAGGAGGATAAATGGGAGTGTGGGGGCTGGGGAGGTGGGAGGCTGAGAGAGGGGCAACATGCAGGTGGATCACTGCAGAAGTTAGGGGACTGTCAGCCCCACATTTTTCTCATCCCATTTGAAGCTACCCTGCTCCCCCCAGGCTGGGTTGAGTGGTGGTGGGCGATTCATAGCCCCATCTCTCTGTGGCTGGGGGCTGGCGAGGGATGTGCCTCAAACAAAAGTGGGGGATGTGGCAGCAGGGACCCCCAGCCCTTGGGCGGATAGCCCCCCTCCCTCCTTTGCGTGAGCAAGGATCTCAGGAGGGTCCTGCTTCCTGGGGAGGTCTGAGCCCTCCTCCGTGCCCGAAGGTAAGCCGGGATCTGGGGCGCGAGGTCCTTGCCTTCCTATGTGTGGATCTGGGATCGGGGGACCCTGCCCCCTATGAGAGTCAATTTATCCGGAGCCCTTCCTCTCCTGGCAAGGTCTTAACCCCTCTTCCTACCCCCTATGTGTGAGCCTGGATACTACATGCCCGAGGTAGAGGGATAAGAACATCCACTGAGATGGATGGGGTAACTCTCACTTCTCTGAGCTATTGTTTCAAACTGTATTCACCTCCATGTATTCACCATTCTGTCAATGGAGTAATCATTACCAAGGAGACAGTGGATGGGGAGAGGTGAGCTGTTGTTGAGGGGGGGAGAGAGAACAGAGATATTATTAAAAAACAAAACCCAAGGAAATATAAAAGGTGCCTCAGGTCCTTCCCGAATGCAGAAAGTGGCTACATTTGAACCTCTGAACATCAGGGAGTATAAAGTTAAGGTATTCTCCATCCCCTATAATGCAACCTAATTTAGGGTATGTCTACAGTACAGATGCTGCACAGGTGCAGCAGCGCCATAGTGGAGACACTTGCTACAGAAGGGGTTTTTCCTTCATTCTAGTTAATCCACCCCTTCAAGAGGTGACAGCTAGAGCGATGGAAGAATTCTTCCGTAAATCTAGCAGTGTCTATACCGGAACTTAGGTGATCTTAACTGTGTGTCTTGGGGTGTGTGAATTTTTCACACCCCTGAACAATGTAGCTAGGTCGACCTAAGTTATAGGTTAGACCAAGCCTTAACTCAGCCCTCTCTGAGCAATGTCCCAGTATCCCAGTAAGAGGAGTACTAGCATTCTGCACTCTCAGATGCTACAGAATGCTTTGGGGACAGAGCAAATGAGCACTGTAGGACGGTATTACAGCTTCTCTTTGCTAAGGCAAATCTTGAGTTAGGTCAGGCATAGCAAACAGGAGGCCCTGCATGGGGCCTGCACTTAAGCATTGAACCTATTCCACACATTCCACTTCAGACTTACTAAATGTTACTACCCCTTCACCCTTGCCTTGAGGATTCGTTCTGAAGCAGCTCCTTCATTTGTCCCTCATTTAGCCGTGGAGACCACTGTCATGTCTCCCACCAGCCTGGTGACAATC